AGTATAATAGCGTGTTTTAAATGGCTTGTATTCATGGATCCATTTAAAGGTTTCTGCAACAGGGGCTGGTGGAATTATTTTATTACAAACAGCACAGCAAACAAAACTTGAGTAATCTGGGTTTCTGATCATTGCTAAAGTTAAGATTTCTTCTACTATGTGCAGATAAAATATTCTTGAGATCAGCTTTTAAGAAAAACTGGATGTTTAAGGAAGCGGAAAGAGGTTCAGGGTTTTAGAACGTTAGATGCTGGTAAAAATGAAATGGTTAGCCATGATTAGCTAGGGTTAAGAGACCAACATTTAAAAAGCATAAGGTAGGGTTACTGGCTTTGGGGAAGATTTAGCAATTACTCTTTCATCTTACTTAGCAACTGTTGTTGGGCAAGAAAAGCTTTGCTCACAAAAGCTACATGAAGTGATGACAAAAGGGAGTTTGGTGTAGCCTTTCAGTTTCCCAGATACTGGCTTTGAATTGGGTCTTTTGAAAGACTGATTTGTTTTACAGATAGCATTGCAGGATGTTGCTTAATTTTTTTTTCAGGTTATTTACTAATGTGACATTTTGGCACCATGGAATTAAAATTTGGAAGTACCTTAACTATTTTAAAGGGAAAATTGTGTTAGCACTCAAAATTATTAAGTTTAGTTTTTAAACAGTGTCAGTCATTTATTTCTACAATATTAGCAAAACAGGCTTAGAAATTCCCACCATCAATGTTTTTTAATTGCTTGACAATGTTGTACATACTAAGAAATCCAGCAGGACTCATTCATAATCAATACCATTAATGAGATTAATTTCTACCTAAAAATTCTGTGAGCTAAATATGCCACAAAAGTTATGCTATAACTTTTTCATCCACATTTATATTAACTCATAGGATATAGCAATTGGCTTGAAGTACTCTACCCAGTGTACCTTGGGTCTATTCCACTGAATTTCAAAATCATCTCAGGAACAGATTTGAGGCCTTGAACACTAATAAGCAAAGACCAGAAAAACTATGGGAGGATATCAAGAATATCATCCACGAAGAATACAGAATAAAGAGAAGAAAGAAAAGGCCAAGAAGGATGTCAGAGACTCTGGATATTGCACTAGAATGCTGAGAAGCAAAAGCAAAGGGAAGAAATCAAGATATTAAGGAGCTGAAAGATTTCAAAGGACAGCTTGGGAAGACAAAGGATTATCATGAAATATGCAAAGGGCAGGAGTTAGAAAATCAAAGTAGCCAAACTCCCTCAGTATCTCTTAAGTTGAAGGAACTGAAGAACAAATTCAAGCCTCGAGTTGCAATACTTAAGGATGCTTGGGCAGAATATTAAATGATCCAGGAATCCTTAAAAGAAGATGGAAAGAGTAAACAGAGTCACTGTACCAAAAGGAATTGGTGGACACAAAAAAATGTAATGAAACAATGTATGAGCAAAATCTTGTACCACAACAAGATAAAGGTAAACAATTCAATTAAAAAATGGGCACAGGATATGAACAGACACTTCACCAAAGAAGACATTCAGATGGCCAACAAGCACATGAAGAAATGTTCAAAGCTCCTAGCTCTAAGAGAGATGCAAATCCAAACAACTATGAGATATCATCTCACCCCAGTAAGAATAGCAAAATTTAACAGAACAACAAGCAACAAATGTTAGCGAGGTTGTGGAGAAACTAGAACCCTTATTCACTGTTGGTTGAAGTGTAAAATGGTGCAACCACTGTGGAAAGCAGTATGACACATTCTCAAAAAGTTGCAAATAGAGATACCATTTGACCCAGCAATTCCACTGCTGGGAATATTCTCCAAAGAAAATATATGCACACCCATGTTTATCATGGCTTTGTTCACAATAGCAAGGGGTTGGAACAACCTAAGTGCCCATCAACAAAAGAATGAATAGAGAAGCTGTGGTATATTCACACAATGGGATACTACACTGCATTGAAAAACAAGGAACTCATACAATATTATTCAAAATGGGTGACCCTGGAGGACATTATGCTGAGTGAAGTAAGTCAGTCACAAAAGGAAAAATACTGCATGGTGCCACTGTTGTAAAACAAGACTGATGTTGGGGTGGAGGGAGACTGAGAAAGAGGGAATAAATAATGTATACTCATTGAAACAGATGAGGGAGAAAATTGTTTAAAAGGGATATGTGATTAGGTATTTTTGTCATGACAGGAGTCCAGAGCGAAGACTGCATAGTTGAGTGGACCTGGGATGAGGGATTGTAAAACAATGAAAGAATTGTTCTTTTACTTTTCCAAGAGGGTAGTGTCCTGGTGGGGAAGTGGGGGGCGGGGAGAAAAGTGCAAAAATGAATGAATGGAAATCCAAAGTCTCTGTAAATTTTCATTGAAATTAATAATAAAAAAATGAGGAGAAAAGAAAGCTTGTGGATAATGAAGGAAGAAGTTCAAGGTGCTCTGAAAGAACTGACAAAAAACAAAGCCCCAGGAATTGACAGCATACCAAGCGACATAGTTCAATAAACAGACGTTGCCCTGGATGTGCTCAACAAGTTGTGCAAAGAAATCTGGAGGACAATCACCTATCCAACTGACTGGAAGAGATCTATATTTGTTCCCAGTTCAAAGAAAGGTGACCTAACAGAGTGTGGAAATTAACAAACAATATCATCAATATCATGTGCAAGCAAGATTATGCTGAAAATATCTAAAATAACTGGAACAGCACATCAACAGAGAATTGCCAGATGTGCAAGGTAGGTTTTGATGAGGCCGTGGTATTTGGGATATTATAACTAATATTAGATGGATCTTGGCTGAAAGCAGAGAGAAACAGAGGAATGTCTATCATGTTTCATTGACTATGCAAAGGCATTTGAAAGTGTGGATCACAAAAAACTGTGGCTAACTCTGAGAAAAATGGAAATCCCAGAACACTTGATCATGTTTATGCAAAACCTATACTTGGGCCAGGAGGCAGTCGTCGGAACAGAGCACGGTAATAGTGCATGGTTCAAAATTGGGAAGGGTGTACACCAGGGATGTGTCCTATCTCTATCAGGATTGGAGGAAGACTCATTAACAACCTATTTTATGCAGATGGCACAACCCTGCTTGCTGAAACTGAGGAGGACCTGAAGTGCTTGACTGCAGTCAAGGACTGCAACCTTCAATACGGTTTGAAGCTCAACATCAAGAAAACATTCTCACCAGTGGTCTGATTGGCAGCATCATGATAGATGGTGAAGAGATTGAGATTGTTAACTGCTTCAGTTTGCTTGGGTCCACAATCAACCCTCTTGGTACCAGAAGCCAGGAAATTAAAGGAGAACTGCATTGGAAAATCTGCTGTCAGAGATCTTTCCAAAGTACTAAAGAACAACAATGTCATTCTAGAGACTAAGGTGCACCTGACCTAGGCCACAGTCTTTGCAATTACTTGCTGTGTGTCAGAAAGCTGAACAATGATGAGGGATGATAGAAGGAGAATTGATGTTTTTGAGCTGTGGTACTGGAGAAAAGTATTGAATATCCCACGGAATGCTAAGAAAACGAACAGGTTTGTCCTGGAGAGGATGAAGCTAGGCTGCTCCTTGGAAGCAAGGATTCTGAAGCTTCGTCTGACATACTTTGGATGTGTTGCAAGGAGGGACCAGTCCTTGAAGAGGGATGTCATGCTTGGGAGGGTGTGGAGGGACAGCGCAGGAGAGGAAGACAATCGATGAGAAGGATTGATTCAATGACGGGGGTAAAAGGGGTAGGTGTGTTGGAGATGGTGAGATTGGTACAGGACAGGGCAGAGTTTAAGGCTGTTGTACATAGCATTGCTATGAGTTGCAGGCAACTCAACGGCACATAACAACAACAACAGGGGCTTAGTACTAACGAGTGGCACTGCCAATTAAGAAAAAAAGGCACGAGTTGGATCCACTAGCTGCTCCATGGGATTTGCTGTTGTGTGCTGTCAAGGCACTTCAGGCACTTCAGGAGCAGCCTGGTTTTACTCTCTCTAGGACGAACCTGTTTGTTCTCCTAGTAGATCACAGTATATTCAATACTCTTCTCCAGCACCGCACCTCAAAGGCATCAATTCTTCCTGCTGGAAGGTCAGCTATGAGTCAATTTTGACTTGATGGTGAACAATAACATATCAATCAGTTTGTTTATTTGACAGCTCTTATATCAAGACCATTTTATCCTTAGGCAAAAAGATTATCACTTAACAGTTTACTTGCCAAGACTAGCTTCCAGATTTAATGTATAATATCATGAGTACTTGGAATTTTTTTGAGCTTATTTATACTCTGTATGTTTTTTAAGATATCAGTGGCAAGAAGCTGCACTGCAATCCTGAAGTCATGTGGTTTGAGGCCATCAGCTGCTCCTTCCTGGCAATTAAAGCTTCCCTGCTTCTAAAAACCTGCCTGAGTATCTGATATGGATTGGTTCTGACTCGATGGTACACAACAATACCACGAGTTAATGTAAATTTATAATTTGAATTTAAATTTTGCATGTCAATTTATGATTTAACATTCATACATTGGAAAATCCTTCTTAGTCACTTTATCTGACTCTATAACACTGTAAATATCTCTCCAATCAAAAATTTTTGGGACAAAGCTGACTTTATCTTGTAGGGTGGTATGTTTTATACATTAAGTTTTGCTTGATCAACAGGCTGTTCTGATGCTTTTTTTTTTTTCAGGAGACTCAACAATTTTTTGCACAATTACAAGAATGTCTCTAATCCAAAGGTTAATGTGCCTATTTACTTAATTTGTTTATACATAAAGACTGTAAGATAGCACATCAAAACGTTGCCCTGCCCAGTGCCATCCTCATCATCCCTGCCATGCTCAAACCCATTGTTGCAGTCATGTCATCAACACATCGTGTAGCAAGTCTTCTGCTTTTTCACTGACCCTCGATTTCTCCAAGCATGATGCATTTTTCCAAGGCATTGTCTCTTCTAACAACATGTCCATAGTAAGTGAGATTAAGTTTCACCATCCTTGCCACTAAGGAGCATGCTGGTAGCCCTTTGTCCAAGACAGATTTGTTTGTTCTTTTAGCAGTCTATTCAATACTCTTCATCAGCATCACCATTCAATAGCCTCAGTTCTTTTTCCATCTTCCTTATTAATTGTTCAAC